TTATGCAATAGATAAGTGTAAATGGAGGGCTCAGGAGGTGAGGGTGGAGAGCTTTACCTACAAGTACATCAAGTTGAGTGCGCTACAAGCAGGCCAGCGGACAACTTGCTACAATACTTGTGTAAAGGAGGAAATGTATATGTTTATCTCTCAGAATGTTCGGTAATACGTTTATTGTTTGTGATGTGTGTCTATGTATGTATTAACACGATGTGTTGCACCGAACGGGTGTACTGAACGGGGTGAGAATAGCTTGAGCTACCTCATCCCTTTGTGTGTATTTTAGTTTATTTCAATAAACTTATTTCAATTTCAATTTCAATTACTTGCTACAAGTCCCAAGCGGCGCCAGGGTAGCCTACTCCCCCGAGCCTCGCCACCGATTTCGTTCGGTTTCCAGTCGTGTCTAGGGAGAAGTGATAGGACACCAATCCTTAACTGTTCGCCCCTGCTCTCCCAACAGTAACTGGGGACCTGGTTGTTAACCAATCGGCGGGTGTGTTCCAGGGAACTACTACTAGCATAAGGGATATCTTGAGCTACTGGAAGGGAACGCCGCTCTAAAACATACTAAAAGGACTCAAAAGCCATCTCCTCCTCTACCCACCCGTGAAGAACAAAAAAGTTAGGCAAGAAAAGGTTCATAACCTGCAATGGCTTTAGTGTCACATATTGATGTTAAATGTGATATATAGACCTTCCTCGCGACGTTATCTGAGGACCTGAGGATATCTTATAGTTGTGAAGTGATAACTTGATGGTCTTATCATAAAATTATAATATTTATTAATTATAACGACGCAAAGAATGCCAATACGCGGACTATTAAACAACTTGACTCAGGCAGGAACAGAATGTAAGGCCACAGGTGGCATTTAGAAGCAGCGGTCCGCCAGAGGGATGTGTGAGGAAGTTTTAACTCAGTGTAGGAGTGACGGCCACCTGCAGGAGGAAGTGACGGCCACCTGCAGGAGGAAGTGACGGCCACCTGCAGGAGGAAGTGACGGCCACCTGCAGGAGGAAGTGACGGCCACCTGCAGGAGGAAGTGACGGCCACCTGCAGGAGGAAGTGACGGCCACCTGCAGGAGGAAGTGACGGCCACCTGCAGGAGGAAGTGACGGCCACCTGCAGGAGGAAGTGACGGCCACCTGCAGGAGGAAGTGACGGCCACCTGCAGGAGGAAGTGACGGCCACCTGCAGGAGGAAGTGACGGCCACCTGCAGGAGGAAGTGACGGCCACCTGCAGGAGGAAGTGACGGCCACCTGCAGGAGGAAGTGACGGCCACCTGCAGGAGGAAGTGGTGGCCACCTGCAGGAGGAAGTGACGGCCACCTGCAGGAGGAAGTGGTGGCCACCTGCAGGAGGAAGTGACGGCCACCTGCAGGAGGAAGTGACGGCCACCTGCAGGAGGAAGTGGTGGCCACCTGCAGGAGGAAGTGACGGCCACCTGCAGGAGGAAGTGACGGCCACCTGCAGGGGGAAGTGACGGCCACCTGCAGGAGGAAGTGACGGCCACCTGCAGGAGGAAGTGACGGCCACCTGCAGGAGGAAGTGACGGCCACCTGCAGGAGGAAGTGACGGCCACCTGCAGGAGGAAGTGGTGGCGCCACACACCGGCCGCAGCTTAACAAACACACACAACCAAGACCCTTGAAGGTCAGTATTGTAACCCTTCCGGGCCCTGTACTCTCATACTGGCTTAGCGCTTTCTCCTGGTAAATACACACACATGTAGATATGATAGAGCCCAATAGGCTCAGGAATCTGTACACCTGTTGATTGACAGTTGAGAGGCGGGACCAAAGAGCCGAAGCTCAACCCCCGCAAGCACAACTAGGTGAGTACATGCTACTTGGGGGGCCTCGCGGCTCAGTGGACAGTGCTCTGAGGTCGTAGTCTTAAGGGGCCCGGATTCGATCCCCGGCAGAGGCAGAAACAAATGGGTAGAGTTTCTTTCTTTCACCCTGATGCCCCCAGTTCACCTAGCAGTAAATAGGTACCTGGTTAGACAGCTGCTACGGGCTGCTTCCTGGGGATGTGTGTGTGTGTGTGTGTGTGTGTGTGTGTGTGTGTGTGTGTGTGGGTGTGTGTGTGTGTGTGTGTGTGTGTGTGTGTGTGTGTGTGTGTGTGTGTGTGTGTGTGTGTGTTAGAGAGAAATATACGTAGTAGACATAATAGAGGACAAATAAATTAGTTAGAAAGGCGGGGTCCAAGAGCTAATAGCTCGATTTTGTAGATACAAATAGCAACTACACCCACCCACTAACAAACCCAGAAACACCTTCTGTCAGTGTAAATATTTACTAGTTCATCGTTATACGCTTGGTGGCGTTTAATATTGTGGTGGTGTTGGTGTTACAACCACTTTGGTGTTTGGTGAGTGAGCCGGGCACACACACGCGGGCTTCCTGCTTGCCTCCCTAGAACAGCCCGTCCTCGACTCAAGTCCATTACATCCAGCGGTCTACCCCACAGACGCATTCAACAATTTTATCATTTATTTTATCAATTTTATCAATTTTATCATTTCATTCAAAACGGGAATTTTCTCAAATATAAATTAATATCATAATATATTAGCATATTGTGCATATATAGGGATAGATTAGGTTAGGTGTTTAGGTTCTGTTGGCGATTATTTGTATTTGTAGTACGTGGGTGAAGCATTTATAGCGTTGTGGTTCGAACAAAATTCGTCAGAGAAGCACTTGTTCCGGAAGTGTTCGAACGTCAGCAGTTGTGAGTCGTCAGCCCGTCCTCCAAACAAAGACCCAAAAGTGATTCCATGCACCCGCCAAACCCCCTGTTTATGAATGAAAAGCGGTTTACACACGACTCACAACTGCTGACGTTCGAACATATCCGGAACAAGTGCTTCACTGACGAATTTTGTTCGAACCACAACGCTATAAATGCTTCACCCACGTACTACAAATACAAATAATCGCCAACAGAACCTAAACACCTAACCTAACCTATCCTATGCCTATATATACACAATATGCCAATACATTATAATATTAATTTATACTTGAGAAAATTCCCGTTTTGAATGAACAGCATGTTAAAATTTATGAATGCGTCTGTGGGGTTGACCGCTGGATGTAATGGACTTGAGTCGAGGACGGGTTGGAGTCGTGTGTAAACCGTTTTTCATTCATAAACAGCTGAGGTCTGGCGGGTGTATGGCATCACTTTTGGGTCTTTGTTAGGAGGACGACCTGCTGGAGTCGTCAAGCATTTACGCAACCACTTACGGAACCTTTATAACTTTCCTCAATTATGGCGGCTTTGTTCACATTTATTAAACAATTTAGGAGCTTGGAAACTTCATAACTCAAGGCTATTATTGGCTTGAATTCAATGAATACAATGGCTTGAATTCACTAGCTGTATTGGAAGAGAAACATCTGCAGGACAAGTGTGGGCAAAAAATCAGATAGCTAAGGATGGCAGAGCCCGGCCTGCGGCTCACAAAGACCCCCAGGGTAAGGCTGAGGAACTAATCCACAAGTGGAGTGATGCAGCATCCTCTTCCTCCCTCCCTCCTTGCAGAAGTAAGCAGGGAACAGCTCCTGCGACATAATGACAGAAGAATTAGGATAACAAGAGTACTGTCTAGTGATGACGAGTATGGCCAACCGATCATAGCCCAGGAAGTAAAGGGCGCTATGAAAAAGGGTAAAAGTACAGCACCTGGTGAAGATGGCGTATACGCAATGCACTGTGTGAAGTGTCTGGGAATCCACTACTCCACCTGTTTAACAAGTCATTCCTAAGTGGAGTGTTGCCCACACAATGGAAACACGCAATAATGGTTCCCATAGCGAAGCCCAATGACCCCTGGCAATTATAAACCTCTCATGTCATGTAATGGCTTAAAGAGCTCGTCCTCATTAAACAAGACTAAATACTTGTTAATCCAGGTGCCAAACCCTCTTGTTTACAAACAGTTTACAACGGATGAGGTTCGACTATTTCTCGGAAACTGCCCCACCCAACCGAAATCATATTAATTTGAAATCCAACCTTATCATATTAATTTATATTGAAGAAAATTTATACAGTATTTTCAATGAACAACATCTTAAAATTGACAAAATGCGTCTTTGGGGTGGGTCGCGGGATGGAATGAACAAAGGCGGACGACTTTGTTTTTGTTATTCTTGACCCCCCTATCGCTGGCCTTGAGGACCGGCGCCATCTTGTGACCCCCTCCACCCCACGGTGCAGTGTTCCCATCATCTACGAGGCAAGGGAGAAATCAGGTCACATGGGGTCATGGCCCCGGACCCATGAGAAAGATGTGATAAAGAAATTACCTGATTATCAGAGGAAATGTGGTGGGGGGGGGGGGGGGGTAGGGGGTCAATCTACTGAGGTAGGGGAGACAATTGAAGGCAGGGAACCCCGTTTTCTGTGCTAGTTAACCAAGGTTGTTATCAACCAATAATATAATATAATAGCTCTGGGTATACCCTACAGGGTATATGCAGGGTATACCCCGCTTCGGTACACCTCTGGCGGTATACACGATCCCCCCCCCCCACCCTTGACGTCTGGGAGCGTCTCTGGGAAGACCTCTGGTGGTCCTCCAGGTTTACAACGCCAATATAAAAATACTTCAAATTTTATAGTCAATACAAATAAATTACAATTATATGTTCTTTATTATTAACATTATTGATTATGTAAATGTTACAATTTCTTTTTTTTTAATCTCATAGATTACACCACCAACTTCAAATTTCACTCGACAAAAAGAATGGGGAACACAGATACACCGAGAGATGAATGTCTTTTTTTTCTGTGTAAACTGTACCCTGAGAGTTTACTTTAGTCCACCCAGCAAGTCCCATAAGCTTGCTGGTTGGTCAATAACGTATCGTGGTGGCCTACCAACCTCTGGGGGTTGTGGAACCTCCAGAGGTTGATAGGCCTTAGGCCCAGGACCCGTCTTGACACTTGACTGACGCAAATGTTGTTGTTCTTCCCTCAGGTGACGAGGACTTCCACAAGAGCCGGAAACTGCAGTACAAGAAGGCCAAGAAGGGCTCCTCCTACGATAAGGTGCCCTTCATAGATAAGGAAGGTCAGTACATAAGCCTCTATAGTGACTGTTGAAGCTGGCCTCGATGGGGGCCATGTCTTCATACCCATCCTGTGGGTGGTAGTGGACCCCCATACTCATCCTGTGGGTGGTAGTGGACCCCCATACCCATCCTGTGGGTGGTAGTGAACCCCCATACCCATCCTGTGGGTGGTAGTGGACCCCCATACTCATCCTGTGGGTGGTAGTGGACCCCCATACTCATCCTGTGGGTGGTAGTGGACCCCATACCCATCCTGTGGGTGGTAGTGAACTAATCATATCATGAAGTTATATAAATATTTCAGGCCCTCAGCGTTCTTCCTCGCCAGGTTCTGGGATCAAGATCCCTCCCAACACACACACATATGCCACACACATCTGACTTCAGTACCACTGAAAATGCCTCTCAGTAAACCATATATTACGTTAAGAAACACCTTCCTCACCAGAGCACCCTTGAGTTTATATAACATTTAAATATACTACGAGGCTATTCCATTGCACGAGATGAAACACACCCCATACATACACATACCTAGGTGAGTACACACCCATACACATACACATGTTTATACATAAGAACGGCCTTTAGAAACTTGTGTAAGGAATCTTTCAGAACATTGTATACCACATATGTCAGACCAATCCTGGAGTATGCGGCTCCAGCATGGAGTCCATATCTAGTCAAGAATAAGACTAAACTGGAAAAGGTTCAAAGGTTTGCCACCAGACTAGTACCCGAGCTGAGAGGTATGAGCTACAAGGAGAGACTACGGGAATTAAACCTCACGTCACTGGAAGACAGAAGAGTTAGGGGGGACATGACCACCACACACAAGATTCTCAGAGGAATCGATAGAGTAGATAAAGACAGACTATTTAACACAAGGGGCACACGCACTAGGGGACACAGGTGGAAACTGAGTGCCCAAATGAGCCGTAGAGACCTTAGAAAGATTTTTTTCAGTGTCAGAGTGGTAGACAAATGGAATGCATTAGGAAGTGATGTGGTGGAGGCTGACTCCATACACAGCTTCAAGTGTAGATATGATAGAGCCCAATAGGCTCAGGAACCTGTACATTAGTTGATTGACGGTTGAGAGGCGGGACCAAAGAGTCAGAGCTCAACCCCCGCAAGCACAATTAGATGAGTACAATTAGGCAATTAGGTAAGTACACACCCATACATACACAATCTCACCCAGGTGAGTACACACCCAGGTGAGTACACACTCATACATACACACACCCAGGTGAGTACACACCCAGGTGAGTACACACTCATACATACACACACCCAGGTGAGTACACACTCATACATACACACACCCAGGTGAGTACACACCCAGGTGAGTACACACTCATACATACACACACCCAGGTGAGTACACACTCATACATACACACACCCAGGTGAGTACACACTCATACATACACACACCCAGGTGAGTACACACTCATACATACACACACCCAGGTGAGTACACACTCATACATACACACACCCAGGTGAGTACACACTCATACATACACACACCCAGGTGAGTACACACTCATACATACACACACCCAGGTGAGTACACACTCATACATACACACACCCAGGTGAGTACACACTCATACATACACACACCCAGGTGAGTACACACCAATACACATACACACACCCAGGTGAGTACACACTCATACATACACACACCCAGGTGTGTACACACTCATACATACACACACCCAGGTGAGTACACACTCATACATACACACACCCAGGTGAGTACACACCAATACACATACACACACCACGTCTGTATAACAGAAACTTCGTTATTTACCTGAGTTTACCTTAGGGCCACCATTTCTCTAGTCGTTTCGACGGGGATAGGAAGCCGGCGGCTGGTCGAAGGTCCATCCAAGATCCGTAAGAATTTTCTCCAGATGGATTTGAATAGAAGTAAATGTCTTGGCATTGACGCCTTCAGCGGGTAGGAGGTTCCACGGGTTCATAAACCTACGGGTGAAAAGGCATCTCATGTTTTGTTTGACTAACACAAGGACCGTCCCTCGTGCCCTGACAGACCAGGTATACTGGCGGCAGAAGGCGCAGAAGGCCCTGGAGGAGCAGCTGCGGGTGAGGCCGCAGGTGGCGCAGGCCAAGAATGTCATCCTCTTCCTGGGCGACGGCATGTCCGTGGCCACCGTCACCGCCGCCAGGATCATGAAGGGCCAGAGGACCGGCAAGTGGGAGCACGAGGACCTCGCCTGGGAGACCTTCCCCTACTCCGCCATCATCAAGGTTGGTGCACCAGCCTGCTTCACGGCGGCGGCTGGCGCCCGTGTTAGTGGCTGGGTGTGCTTGGCAGGGTCTGGGTATGTTTGTTTGTGGCTGGATGTGCTTGGCAGGGTCTGGGTATGTTTGTTTGTGGCTGGGTGTGCTTGGCAGGGTCTGGGTATGTTTGTTTGTGGCTGGGTGTGCTTGGCAGGCTCTGGGTATGTTTGTTTGTGGCTGGGTGTGCTTGGCAGGCTCTGGGTATGTTTGTTTGTGGCTGGGTGTGCTTGGCAGGCTCTGGGTATGTTTGTTTGTGGCTGGGTGTGCTTGGCAGGCTCTGGGTATGTTTGTTTGTGGCCGGGTGTGCTTGGCAGGGTCTGGGTATGTTTGTTTGTGGCTGGGTGTGCTTGGCAGGCTCTGGGTATGTTTGTTTGTGGCCGGGTGTGCTTGGCAGGGTCTGGGTATGTTTGTTTGTGGCTGGGTGTGCTTGGCAGGCTCTGGGTATGTTTGTTTGTGGCTGGGTGTGCTTGGCAGGCTCTGGGTATGTTTGTTTGTGGCCGGGTGTGCTTGGCAGGGTCTGGGTATGTTTGTTTGTGGCTGGGTGTGCTTGGCAGGCTCTGGGTATGTTTGTTTGTGGCCGGGTGTGCTTGGCAGGCTCTGGGTATGTTTGTTTGTGGCTGGGTGTGCTTGGCAGGGTCTGGGTATGTTTGTTTGTGGCTGGGTGTGCTTGGCAGGCTCTGGGTATGTTTGTTTGTGGCCGGGTGTGCTTGGCAGGGTCTGGGTATGTTTGTTTGTGGCTGGGTGTGCTTGGCAGGCTCTGGGTATGTTTGTTTGTGGCCGGGTGTGCTTGGCAGGCTCTGGGTATGTTTGTTTGTGGCCGGGCGTGCTTGGCAGGGTCTGGGTATGTTTGTTTTGCTCCTGGGAGTATGGGTTCGAGTCACTTCTGGGGTGTGAGTTTTCAGTCGCATATAGTCCTGGGGACCATTCAGGCTTGTTCGCATATATATATATATATATATATATATATATATATATATATATATATATATATATATATATATATATATATATATATATATATATATTGCCTAGTAAGAAAAGTTTTCCTGAATTTATATATTTTTTCGATTTTTTTTCTCATGAAATGATAAATCTATAAATTTCATTATGAATAAGTTAGATGCAACTCCTTACGGTCTTCTAAGCACGACTTGGCCCCCTTGAGTGTGTCTTGGCTTTCATCTTAAGTTGAACTGTGCAACAAAACAAAGAAACTGGTCTGAGATGCTGATGTAATGGGCTCTCACAAGGCTGTACTAAGAGTTCTTGTCTGGTGTAAATTAGATTTCAAAGATGTATTGCAAGTTTTGTTTCTTCCTCATGTGACATCTGTTTGTCTTACCTGTGACACCTGTTTGTGTCACCTGTGACACCTGTTTGTCTTACCTGTGACACCTGTCTGTCTTATACCTGTAACATGTGTTCGTCTCTTCCGTGACATTGATGACACCTGTCTGTCAAAGCTGTCACACCTATATGACACTTGTTGCTCAACTGCGACGCGTGTGTGTCTCAGCTGTGTGACACGTGTGTGTGAGACACGTGTGTGTGTGTGACACATGTGTGTTGTGTGTGTTACAGACGTACACGGCCGACAGCCAGGTGGCGGACAGCGCGGCGAGCGCCACGGCGTACCTGTGCGGCGTCAAGAACAACCGAGGCACCATCGGCGTCGACGTCAATGTCGACCGGGAGAACTGCACCGCCCAGCAGGACGCCGCCTACCACACCCACTCCATCGCTAAATGGTTCCAGGTACGTCCTGCCCCTCGTAGATTCACCTACTGGGAGCACTCAAAAAGTTTCAAGCAGCACGGGCTATCGTGAGTGGACTTACCTGGCACAGGAACAGGGCTGTGGCCACCGACAGATTGATTGATTGGGTTATTCATGGCCGTAATTGGGTGGTTTAATGTCAATCAATCAGTCACAAGGAGGTTCCAGGTAGGTCCTGACTCGTGGCTAGTGGTCCAGGCACCTGGCGAGTCTGGCCGGGCTGTGAACCGGAGTATATGAGAAAAAACGCTTGGCTCACTTTCTTTGTTTCCTGACACGAGCAGTGTAAAAAAAAAGATGGTGAAGACAAAGGAAATGAGGTGGGGGGGGGGGGGGGGGGGTACGTGTGGTGGTGGGGAGGGGGTAGCTAGGTGTGGTGGTGGGGAGGGGGGGCAGGTGTGGTGGTGGGGAGGGGGGTAGGTGTGGTGGTGGGGAGGGGGGGCAGGTGTGGTGGTGGGGGGGCAGGTGTGGTGGTGGGGAGGGGAGGCAGGTGTGGTGGTGGGGAGGGGGGCAGGTGTGGTGGTGGGGAGGGGAGGCAGGTGTGGTGGTGGGGAGGGGGGGCAGGTGTGGTGGTGGGGAGGGGGGCAGGTGTGGTGGTGGGGAGGGGGGCAGGTGTGGTGGTGGGGAGGGGGCAGGTGTGGTGGTGGGGAGGGGGGCAGGTGTGGTGGTGGGGAGGGGGGCAGGTGTGGTGGTGGGGAGGGGGGCAGGTGTGGTGGTGGGGAGGGGGGCAGGTGTGGTGGTGGGGAGGGGGGCAGGTGTGGTGGTGGGGAGGGGGGGCAGGTGTGGTGGTGGGGAGGGGGGCAGGTGTGGTGGTGGGGAGGGGGCAGGTGTGGTGGTGGGGAGGGGGGCAGGTGTGGTGGTGGGGAGGGGGGCAGGTGTGGTGGTGGGGAGGGGGGCAGGTGTGGTGGTGGGGAGGGGGCAGGTGTGGTGGTGGGGAGGGGGGCAGGTGTGGTGGTGGGGAGGGGGGCAGGTGTGGTGGTGGGGAGGGGGGCAGGTGGTGGTGGTGGGGGTGGGGGGCAGGTGTGGTGGTGGGGAGGGGGGCAGGTGTGGTGGTGGGGAGGGGAGGCATGTGTGGTGGTGGGGAGGGGGCAGGTGTGGTGGTGGGGAGGGGGGCAGGTGTGGTGGTAGGGAGGGGGGCAGGTGGGGAGGGAGGGAGGCAGGTGTGGTGGTGGGGAGGGAGGGAGGCAGGTGTGGTGGTGGGGAGGGAGGGAGGCAGATGTGGTGGTGGGGAGGGAGGGAGGCAGGTATGGTGGTGGGGAGGGAGGGAGGCAGGTGTGGTGGTGGGGAGGGAGGGAGGCAGGTGTGGTGGTGGGAAGGGAGAGAGAGGCAGGTGTGGTGGTGGGGAGCACAGGTTCACAGATTACATCATGGAGTCACCACAGGTGACCAGCAGTCACCTTTGTTGCTAGCCTGCAAGGATGCCAGATACAAGGGTGATAACGGCAAGGATGCCAGATACAAGGGTGATAGAGGCAAGGATGCCAGATACAAGGGTGATAGAGGCAAGGATGCCAGGTGCCATTGGCTATTGGGGTAGGCCTACCTCTGGCCAGGTGTCAGGATAGGCCTACCTCTGGGCAAGAGTCACGTGCTAGCCGCCACAAGACACAACTGACACCATCACCACTCACCACCAGACGTCAGGGACATCTCCACCTACCAGTGAGAGCTTCTACGGAACATTCTTGGCGCGAAAGTTTGAACTCAAAAACACCAATAACAAAGAAATCCATTAATTTATCATTTGCAGTATGGAACACTTTCACCTATTACTTACTGCTATGGCAAAAAAGTTGTATGCTAAGAATTAATGTGTGAAGTGTGAGATTAGACAAGTGCTATAGCGGGCTTGACGTTATATAAGGAAGTGGTGAGCCACAACCTTGGCACCGGTGGACGTCTGGTGGCAGCCTTGGCACCATTGGACGTCTGGTGGCAGCCTTGTGCACCTTTGGACGTCTGGTGGCAGCCTTGGCACCGTTGGACGTCTGGTGGCAGCCTTGTCACCGTTGGACGTCTGGTGGCAGCCTTGGCACCGTTGGTCGTCTGGTGGCAGCCTTGTCATCGTTGGATGTCTGGTGGCAGCCTTGTACACCGTTGGACGTCTGGTGGCAGCCTTGGCACCGTTGGTCGTCTGGTGGCAGCCTTGGCACCGTTGGTCGTCTGGTGGCAGCCTTGGCACCGTTGGACGTCTGGTGGCAGCCTTGGCATCGTTGGACGTCTGGTGGCAGCCTTGTACACCATTGGACGTCTGGTGGCAGCCTTGGCACCGTTGGACGTCTGGTGGCAGGATTGGCACCGTTGGACGTCTGGTGGCAGCTTTGGCACCGTTGGACGTCTGGTGGCAGCCTTGTACACCGTTGGACGTCTGGTGGCAGCCTTGTGCACAGTTGGACGTCTGGTGGCAGCCTTGTGCACCGTTGGACGTCTGGCGACAGCCTTGTACACCGTTGGACGTCTGGTGGCAGCCTTGTACACTGTTGGACGTCTGGCGGCAGCCTTGTACACCGTTGGACGTCTGGTGGCAGCCTTGTGCACCGTTGGACGTCTGGTGGCAGCCGTGGCACCATTGGACGTCTGGCGGCAGCCTTGTACACCGTTGGACGTCTGGCGGCACCCGTGGCACCAGACGAAGGCTCTGGACGTGATCCCACGCTACTCTGCCACTCTGGCCTCGTCACGCTGATAACCAATTTATAACGCGTCTCTCTGATTGGTCTGACAGTGATTGAGACCATGCAAATTATTAGACAAAGGTCAAGGGCCCAGTCAGATGGCAATACCAGTTTAAGAGTCATATTTTGTCAACTTTCTTCGTAAGTAAAGAAGATGAAGAACTATAGTGAAGTTGTCTCAAGATGCAATGCTTTAATACATCTTTAAATCGAAGATCTACAACCTCTTTTCTTTTTCCCTTTAACAACTCTCACCCATTGAGCTTAACAATCGGTGCCAGGTTGAACAGCCTACTGTCACCCAGAATATTGGCCTGGTCCACCTGTCAACTTTGAGTGTAATTGTACCTAATTATCTTTTACGGTAATTAAGCTTTTAGAGAGCGTGACAATGCTATTTGTTGGTGGAGCATAACTGGCGGCTGTTGGCCTCAATTACTCGGTAAGTGATTGGCAGTTGTTAATTAGGAATTATTGGTTCATTGCTGCGGCTTGTTGGGTTAAGGGCATAGCAAGCGGCGTTGTGTATCTTTGTACACAAATTATATACCTTAGCTAATTTGCAACTTCAAAGGACCGCTTGAGTTAATTGATCCTTTGTAGAAGAATAGTTTAATATATTCTTTAATTAGCCTCACAAACTATCGTTTCCCATCGACACGGCACATGACTCAACGACTGCTTGTTCTGATGTGTTCACTCGTCCCCGTGACCCATGCCCTGATTCCTGCCCCTGACTCGTAACCTGACTCATGATCTAACTCGGCCACCTGAATCGTGACCTGACTCTTCCCTCTCCCCCGACTAATGTCCTGATTCCTGCCCCTGACTCGTGACCTGACTCATGATCTAACTCGGCCACCTGAATCGTGACCTGACTCTTCCCTCTCCCCCGACTAATGTCCTGATTCCTGCCCCTGACTCGTGACCTGACTCATGATCTGACTCGGCCACCTGAATCGTGACCTGACTCTTCCCTCTCCCCCGACTAATGTCCTGATTCCTGCCCATGACTCGTATTCTGATTCACGACCTGACTCGTTCCCCCTGAATCGTGACATGACTCGCGACCTGACTCGTATTACGACTTCATGTGGTGACTCGTCCCCCTGACAGACTAGGACACTGGAGCTCTGAGGAATGGGACATAATATAATAAGCTGAAGAATGCCCATTGGTCTGACTTTAAACGAAACTTTGACTTTAAGGAAAATAAAGTAGATATACAAGTGTTCGAGTCCCTTGGATTACTGTCTCCAGGCCTGGAGACTCTCATCTTCAGAAGGATGTCGCTGCTCTGGAGAAAGTTCAACATGAAGCAACACCAATCATGCCAGAACTAAGTGGACTCCCATACCAGGAACGGCTGAGGGCCACAGGACTAACAGCACTTCAAATCGGACATGACAGACAAGCCAGACATGACAGACAAGCCAGACATGACAGACAAGCCAGACATGACAAAGCTGATCTCGTCGAAACTTCTCTAAAAGGTCGGTTGTAACACGAACAAGGAGCAACGGTTTCAAGCTCAATGAGCTACAGTCTATCTTATCTTGCGGTTACCTCGCGATGATTCCGGGGCTTAGAGTCCCCGCGGCCCGGTCGTCGAGCCTCCTGATTGCTGGACTGGTCAACCAAGCTGTTTTTGGAGGTGTTCATCCAGTTCTCTCTTGAACACTGCGAGGGGTCTGCCAGTTATGTCCCTTATGTGTAGTGGAAGCGTGTGAGAACAGTCTCGGGCCTCTGATGTTGATAGTTCTCTCTTGAACACTGTGAGGGGTCTGCCAGTTATGTCCCTTATGTGTAGTGGAAGCGTGTTGAACAGTCTCGGGCCTCTGATGTTGATAGTTCTCTCTTGAACACTGTGAGGGGTCTGCCAGTTATGTCCCTTATGTGTAGTGGAAGCGTGTTGAACAGTCTCGGGCCTCTGATGTTGATAGTTCTCTCTTGAACACTGTGAGGGGTCGGCCAGTTATGCCCCTTATGTGTAGTGGAAGCGTGTTGAACAGTCTCGGGCCTCTGATGTTCATAGTTCTCTCTTGAACACTGTGAGGGGTCAGTCAGTTATGCCCCTTATGTGTAGTGGAAGCGTGTTGAACAGTCTCGGGCCTCTGATGTTGATAGTTCTCTCTTGAACACTGTGAGGGGTCGGCCAGTTATGTCCCTTATGTGTAGTGGAAGCGTGTTGAACAGTCTCGGGCCTCTGATGTTCGTAGTTCTATCTTGAACACTGTGAGGGGTCAGCCAGTTATGCCCCTTATGTGTAGTGGAAGCGTGTTGAACAGTCTCGG